ATAATTTAGATAGATGACCATATGATTCTATCCTCTCATTTTCCACATTCCATTTATTTCCCCTCTGGTTAACAGAAGTGATATTGCTCACTTTGTTACCATGTTTTATACTTAAGTCTTGTCAAATATAAACTTTGTACTTTATCTTGGAATTTGTAACCAGTAGTTTCATGTATTTTAGTATTTTAGGTATTTTAATCATGGAGATGTTATAAAATGAGTGGTTGACAGAGTTTTCTGTACCCTGACTAGGGTGAAAAGGAGATCAAATCCCTTGAAGTCTATGTGATAGCTCATTTTTGTGAATGAGAACCAATGCTACTATTTAGTTTTTTGTTTTGCAGATTTAACAGTTGAGAGGCCTTGGTGGTATGAAGAGGAGTGTGACTTCTCATTTTCTTCCTTTGGATTAGTCCTGTTGAAGGTTTATTGTACTGAATTGTCTGTTTTGGGAAACATGCTAAAAGCAGTTTTAATATATGCAGATGTGTATATTCCAGAAATAAGAGGGAATGGAAACCTCTTCTTGGAATTTAAAGCTTAGTTTTGAACTATGGAAGATGATGAAGATATTTTCTGGGGTTTGTCAAGAATAGAATGTCATCATGGTTCAGGTTCCACTAGGGCGTTTTGAGCAGGCTTGGAGGAGAAATGACCTCCACAAGAAATAGGAACACTTTTACACCGTTGCTGGGAATGTAAATTAGTTCCCCCGTTGTGGAAGACAGTATGGCAATTCCTGAAGGATCTAGAACCAAGAAATAACATTTGACCCAGCAATCCCACTACTGGGTATATACCCAAAGGAATATAAATCATTCTACTATAAAGACACATGTACACGTATGTTTATTGCTTCACTATTTACAATAGCAAAGTCATGGAACCAACCTAAATGCCCATCAGTGATAGACTAGATAAAGAAAATGTGGCATTTATACACCATGGAATACTATGCAGCCATAAAAAGGAATGAGATCATGTCTTTTACAGGGACATGGATGAATCTGGAAGCCATCATCCTCAGCAAACTAACACATGAACAGAAAACCAAACACTCCATGTTCTCACTCGTAAGTGGGAGTTGAACAATGAGAACACATGGACACAGGGAAGGGAACAACACATACCAGGGCCTGTTGTGGCGTGGGGGATGAGGGGAGGGATTTTTTTTTTTTTTTGAGACAGAGTCTTGCTCTGTCACCCATGCTGGAGTGCAGTGGCATGATCTCGTCTCACTGTAACCTCCAAATCCCGCATTCAAGTAGTTCTTCTGCCTCAGCCTCGGGAGAGTAGCTGGTACTACAGGCACGTGCCACCACGGCTGGCTAATTTTTTTGTATTTTTGGTAGAGACAGGGTTTCACCGTGTTAGCCAGGATGGTCTCCATCTTCTGACCTCGTGATCTGCCCGCCTCGGCCTTCCCAAGTGCTGGGATTACAGCCGCCGTGCCTGGCTGAGTGGAGGGATCTTTAAGAGGATGGGTCAATAGGTGCAGCAAACCACCATGGCATACATATACCTATGTAACAAACCTGCACGTTCTGCACATGTATACCAGAACTTAATGTAAAATTGAAAAAAAAAAAAAAAGAAATGACCTCCACGGTGTGCTATGTGCCTTTCTCATTAGATTTTCTCTGATACAAGGAAGGAGAGAGAGAAAAATTTTCTAATTTTTAATGGTTTTTCACTTAAGTGACTTGTGTTATTTACTTGTGAGAGATAGTCGTTTGATTTATAATGTTCGTTTTTGACAATTCTCATAGAACTTTATGTAAGAGATAATCGATATTTGATCTATTGTTAGTTTTATGTCCCTGAAATAATGTTTAGGACAGTTTGGATTACTGCAGTGTTATATATTATAAGAGACTGGGAAGTAGTCATTAAAAATATCATCAAGGGAGCTCAAACTCTGATGGAAGTTATCTGAAATTGCTTCATTTTATCTTTCAATTTGAAATTATGCCCAAAGCATCTGGTTTTACATTAGTAAATGCCCTTGTAATGATTTTGGTAGCTGTCATTCAGGAGAAGTTATCACTTAGACCTCGTTAACAGACAATATTCTCTCCGAAAATGACATGGTATCTACTGTAATCCTAGAGTGTCTTAATAGTCTATTCTATGCTCAGCAATGAAACATTTCAAAAAGTGACTGACAGCCAATTGATGTAATTCACGGTGATCTTTTGTGTTGACAGATCTTTAAAAAGTCATGGGAAATTACTGCTGTACCCAGTGAAGCCACCTCCCTTTTTTTTCTTTAACTGCCAGTATCCTGTAAAACAGGATAATTTTCTCTTTGACTGCCACTGTTTTTTATTTCAATAACATGACATGATTCCTCCTTATTATTAGGATTTCTTTTGATTGACAGAATGTGTTTCCATAGGTAATACTGATTTTAAAATAGAAATGTTTCAGTTCTCAAATTAACTCTCTTAATTTTCTGACTCCCACATCAAGACAACCTTGCCAGTAGCCACCTTCCCACTCAGGAAGACGAATTATTTAATTCACACAACTTAAATATTTTTAAATGATTTTACTCTTCCTCTGAAGGAGAAAATGATGAAAACAAGAGGGTGATGAATTGCTTATTTTGGTGGATATTTTTTCCTAGAACACCCCAAAGTTAAAAGGTTGTTGTTTTTGGTAATTTTATAGGATGTAGTAGTCTTGTGTTCAAAACTCAAAATTTCTGAATTCAAACTGTGGAATGAATGGAAAGGAGAGCTGATGTATATGAACTTGTCTGATGAGTTGTGGGGGAAAATACAGAGAGCTAGTCCCAGTGTTGACCTAACTTTTCATCTAAGAGAATTTATTGGAATTGTATCTCTGTGTTTTTGCCCGTTGTTATTGTGTTTCAAAGTAGTTATTTTCCTAAGATTGTCAGGATGATCCTTAGTGGAGTAGAAGATACTCTTTTTCTTAATTGAAACCAGTACTAAAACATTGTCATTATGAATTGACATGTATTTTTTGAGAATGAAGTGTGTGCTTTCATCCTGTGCTGGATGATGTGGAAGAAGTAAGAATGTATTTTCTGATTACAGTCCTATTTGTATTTTTGTTTAATATTCCACAGCATGATATGATTCTTACTGAAATAAAATTCCAACTTTTTAACATTGTTTTGAAATATCATGGATTGTAAACCATTGTAGTACCACCCCCATCTTTAGTTCCAATTTCTGCTTTGTGTCATATGCCACCATCCACCACCCCCCCTCCACCCTCTTGGCTCACTGTCTCACTAGACCAAAAGACCTAGATTAATTCATTGCCTTACATGCCAAAACTACCCCCTACTTGCCACAACCTCACCATCAGGCATATTTTTGTGAAAATGCAAAGTAAAGATGTAGAAAAGAGAGACAAAAAAAGATTTCCATTCTATTTCCTGTTTGTATTTCTTTTAGACTCTAACGAATATGAACAGTTTGGATAATTTAATAGTTAAGAAATAAGTAATAGATACCACTTTTTTTCCTCTTCTTTTTACAGACAGTAGAATCAGAGCATATTGGGGTCTAGTTGATTGCAGGCCCTGAATCTTATGTTTTAGTCTAATGTACACAATCTTGCAGCACTTCAGAGCTGCCATATTATGCTTATGCTAAAGGCACTGGCAGAGTCATTTAGATGAGTCCATAATTGGAAGGTACAGGACGTAGTATTAGTTCCATTTAGGCTATGTGATCTAAAGAAAATCACTTCATTTTCATTTCTGTTATAATAAAATGGAAGTTATAATTATGTCCCTTTAACTACTTTTCCAAGTTTATGGGAAAGCAGTGTAGGAAAATGAATCACAAAGTTAATCTTTAGAATCCTTAATTCTATACAGACAATAATAGTTATTCTTTATCTTCCTCTTTAAGTAATTTATAGAAGACAACTTTTTTTTTTTTTTTACCAGTACTGTATTTTTAATGATCTGTTCTATATAAGAAAAGGGAAATAGTGTTAACAACAGAATATTTAATCCTCACAGTAACTCTGTGAAGTAGACATTATTATTGACATTTTACAGATAAGGAAATAGGGTTATAAAAGTAAAGAAAATTTCCCAAGATCAGAAGGTAATAATAATAAAGTAAGTCATTAATTCTCTGGTTACTTTCACTTTGATGCCCATGTTCTTTCTTCCACAAACTGTTGTAGTTTATTAACATATTGTAATCTCTCCTAACATCTCTCTGTTCATTATGCCTAATTTTGAATTGTTGCCATTTTAATGATTCCTATTCTTTTGGTTATCATTTATTTGTTTAGTTCATTTGGCAATGTTTTAGTTGGAAGGCATCGTGCTAAACAGTAGCAATTTTTGTTCTTAGTCTAATCTTTTTAAACAGAAGAAAACATACCTTTAGAATACAGTGATAAGTTGTTCCCATAATACGGGGAAATACAAAAGGTTTTGGAATGCTAGGACGGCTGTATTAGTCCATTTTCATACTGCTATAAAGAACTGCCCGAGACTGGGTAATTTATAAAGGAAAGAAGTTTAATTTACTCACAGTTCAGCATGGCTTGGGAGGCCTCAGGATACTTACAATCATGGTGGAAGGCAAAGGGGAAGCAAAGGACTTCTTCACAGGGTGGCAAGAAGGAGAAGTGTGAGTAAAGGGGGAAGAGCCCCTTATAAAACTATCAGATCTGTGAGAACTCACTCACTATCACAAGAATAGCATGGGGGAAACTGCCCCCATGATTCAATTACCTCCACCTGGTCTCTTCCTTGATATGTGGGATTATGGGGATTACAATTCAAGATGAGATTTGGGTGGGGACACAAAGCCTGACCATATCAAAAACTTCCTAGAAGCGGTAACATGAAAGCCCATGCTTTAACATACCCCTTACCAGAATGTTGATGGCCTTTTCCATCATGCCTTTCATTTGTCTTGTACCAGCAGCTTCATATTGAACCATTCATCCTGGGGTGAGTAGTCAAATGACTTTTACCTGTGTTTGTTGTTTTCTAGCTTGTCCAGATTATTATCAATACAACACATTTGGAGAAATCCTGTAAGTACTTGGAAGAATTTATCACCAACATCACTAATGTGCTTCCAGAAACAGTTCACACTACCAAGCTCTATGGCACCACAACTTTTAAGGTGAGAGGCCCTGCGGTACAGTGGAACTGCTTCTGGTGTACACAGTCTGGGACATTCTACCTAACATGGCTGTGTTTCTGCAAGATGGTTTATAGCATGCTCTTGAGAATAAGTGTTTATAATATGTTTGGTTTCCCTTCTCTATTTTTTTTGAAGAAATAAATACCAGTCCTAGTTTTTGGGTGTTTAAACAAAACAAAACAAAACAACTACAACTGTGTCTGTAAACTCTTCCTTATGTTTTGTACATGTAAATCACTATTTCCTAAGTTGAGCCCCCATCAGTCAACAGTTCTTAAATATGATCTAGATAATCATAGTTATGGCTGACATTAACATTCATTAAAATTTTCTAAACTGTCGCCTGCTCTCTGTATCCTGTGACCAATTTTTTTTTTTTTTTTTTTAAACCAAATCTTGCTCTGTTGCCCAGACTGGAGTGCAGTGGTGCAATCTTGGCTCACCGTAACCCCTGCCTCCTGGATTCAAGCAATTCTCATGTCTCATCCTCCCAAGTAGTTGGGATAACAGGCGTGTGCCACCATGCCCGGCTAATTTTTAGTATTTTTAGTAGAGATGGGGTTTCGCCATGTTGCCCAGGCTGGTCTCGAATTCCTGGGCTCAAACGATCCACCCACCTTGGCTTCGTAAAATGCTGGGATTGCAGGCATGAACCACTGTACCCGGCCCTGTGATCAATTTTTTAATCTTACTTTTTAGTGAGAAATTTCTGTCCCTGCTTTTCTAGTTAGCAATTTTATAATTTCATATGTCCACAGCACTAGTTTTGATCCAGAGCTGAATCAAATGGGAAGAAATGACAGTCAGGTAGAACAAAAGAAGGATTGATGGTAGATGAGTTTCTGGAGGGTAAATGCTATAGCTCAGAGCAGCTTTAATAAACTCCTTAATATTATGTGAGCTTTAAATAGGTATTAAGCAGTAAAAGTAATAGGACAACATCTCAAACATTAAAAATGTAGATCTAACATATAGGCTACTTATATGGTTTGATTTTTTGTTTATATTGTTATTTGATTGTTTTAGTTTTGAAACATATTCTATATCACCCTGTTGAAATCCAGAAATTGATATCAATTAAATGTACAATTGCAGAGTTGGAACCGTGATTTATGTCCCCTTTTGTCTGCTTTTTCCCATCATCTTATCCTTTTTCTCTATTTTTGGTACATTCTTTTAATTGTAGGCACAAGAGAAGAAATCAAATTTGATTCATACTGCTATTATGCTTTTTGACAGATAAAAATTTTTGGTATGACTTACTATTTTTCTATTGTTTGAAAAAATGCAATGTTGAATCAGAAAGTATTCTTTATGTATCTATGCGATTAGGTCAACTGCTAGGTTGTTACACATTCATTAAATGACTATAAATTCTTTGTTTCAAAATGACAATAAAATTACTTAAATCAAAATTCATTACACATAATGTTATGTTCATATCGTGACTTCCTAATTTTTCAATAATGTCTAATGATATTAATTTTGATGTTCTTTTAGTGAGGAAAAGAATGATTTAATAAAAAGGCCCTGAGAATGAGTATGAAAATGCCACAAAAGCTTTCAGAGCTTCAGAATGACCTCAGGCAGTTTTATAGGAATTATAATTACTCTCAAATACTAGCATTGTTATGGAGCTTGGGCATTAGATTTATCAAAAAAAATTTCCGTATTTGCTCTTCTGTGAAAGCCAAAATTTCTCGAGGAAAGAAAATGTAAAAGAAATAGTTCAGTGTTAAGTAGATAATAGGGAGTTAGGGAATTAGAACGTGAGGTTCATTTGTCTATCAAATGGAGAATATGTGGTATCCACTGATACTCTTTTTGTCAACCTGTCTCAATTTTTTTATGTCAATAGCTTTTCAAATTATGTTCAGAAATTCTCTCAAAGGATGGCTTGTGTATTTTGTTGTTGCTCTAGCATGAAAAAATGCTGAGGGAAAATTAAAGGCAGACAGGAAGCCATAGGGGCTGAACAGCCAGTTAAATACTTAGTGAAGGAGAAGTTCTGGAGACCACTAAAGGTCATGTTGACAGTGCATATTGGAAACACTGATTGCTTAAAACACACTGAAAATTTATTTTTACCAGGGCTGTTTCAGACTAGCTAACCCAGGACTCAATATAAACATGGCAATTATAACGGCTACATGTTGTGTATTTTCCTAAGCTACTGTTTCCAGAAAACTTTCCCTTGCAGATGGAAACCTTTATGCTGGAAAAGGGGTAGAAAGAGTCTGAAGGTCTTTAAGGTATTTTCTTGCAGAGTTCCCTCTTATTTCTGCCATGTATGACATAATCAAGCTGGCGTCCTTAGCTTTCCTTATTCATAAGATTTTCCTCACCCTCTTACAAAAGAGAATGAAAGTGTTTATTAATTTACTCCATAATAAATATTGCTTGCGTATCTGCTATGTAATCATCTGGTAGATTCTTGGGGAGAGATAGAAAAAGTACTTTGTTCCTGGACTTAAAGTTTATGATTTACAGAGAAGACAGCCACTATACTGGAATAATACATTGGATATATTCAATCTCTCATTTATTTAACAAGTTTTAATACAGTATCTACTACAAATCAGGGAAGGTTTCAGGTATGAACAAAAAAGTGAGTCTCCTGACTTTACAGAGCTTATATTTTAATGAATTAGTGGATGATAAACAAACAAAGAAAACTAATATAATGGCAAGTAGTGATAAGAACTAGGAAAAAAATAAATGACCCAAAAGAAGTGAGAAATTAAATCATTTGGATTTCCGATGGATATGCATTCCTGTCAAAGTGAACAGCACAGTGGTAGGTATGGGTGTGTTCAAGAAATAGTAAGGGGGTCAGTCTGGCAATGATGTATCTATCACTAATGGTATGGATGATAAGAGATGACGTATTCAGGAGTTAGATTATTTCTGGCCCTGTAGGCCATCGTAAATACTATACATTGTATTCTGAAATGAGATGCGATGTCATTAGAAGATTGAAGTGTGGGGGGTAATGATCTGAGTTATTTAATGTGATACTGGTTTTTATGTGGAAATAAATATATTGTAATTTAATAAAAGGGGAAGAAGAAAGGCTAATTGGGAGGCAGTTGCAGTACTCCAGGCAACAGATAATGGTCACTTGGACTAGAGTGGTAGAGGTAGAAGTGGTAAGAAATATTTTTGAAGGTACAGATAGCAGGTCTTAGTACTAGATTGGGTGTTTGTATTAAGAGAAAGACAGGAGTCAAGGGTAGTTCCAAAACTTTTGAACTGAACAAACTGGATGAATACTGTTTACTGAGACGGGGAACACTTAGAGAAAAATACATTTGAAAAGCAGAAATACGATCAAGACTTCCATTTTTGATACATTAAGATCGATATATTCAATGATAGCTATATAGAGGTATTAAATTAGCAGGACAAAATCATAGCTGGAGATAAAAATTTAGAGTTCACCAGTGTAAAGATGGTATTTGATGGCATAGGATGGATTTTCTTCTGGGATTTGAGTATACATAGAGGAAAGGTGTGAGGATTGAGCTCCAGGGGACTTCAAAATTGACAGGCTCAACAGAGGAGAATTCCAAAGAGGATGAGGTTCCAGCCTTAGGACCTCCAAAGAAGACTTCCCAGACAAGTACAAGTTGGAATGGATCTTGGAACCAGCAGGATATTTCTAGGGAGAGAATGGATATAGAGGGAGTAAAGGATATTTTAACTTCATGTGCAAAGATTAAATGATAAAATAAAGCCAGTATTCAGCATAGAATTAGGATGGCAGTGAGATACAGAAGTAGATAAATGCCAATCTGAGAAGCACTTTGTTTTATATTAATAGATAATGTGGACTTTATTCTAAAGTCTTTGAAAGACTTCAAGTGAGGGATGTTGCATTTAAAAAAATAAACATTCTACTGTGCTTCATTGAAAGGAAGGGAAGAACTAAAAAAAGAAGGAAAAGAAAAGACGAAGGTAAGGAAGGAAAGAAGGAGGAAATAACAACATCAGTCACATTACTCACAGTTCAGAATGAGAGGAATTGACTTCCTAAAAGACGCTGTGTAACTCTGTGCTAATAAATTTGAGGATCCATAGGGAAATAGGTATGATGTGATAAGGAAAAGATATGAAAGAGGAAAGCTTCAAGATGGCTGACTAGAGGTATTTCATACTCGCTTCCTCCACTAAGAAGAACCAGCATAATGAGTAGATGATCACACTTCAAATAGATCATCCAAGACGGAACACTGTAATTCAACAGAAAAGTTACAGTAAATGCCTAAACCAAGGAAGGGGAAGGACATGAGGCAGTCTACTCAGTAGGATCAGCTGGGAGCTGAGGGAGACTGAGGAAAGGGTTAATGAGAAACTTTCAGTGGTTTCCATTTCCACTATGGACTCCTGAAATCCTGGCCACAGGAGAGTCTCTTGACCCTCACTTGCCCTGAAACTAACATTGGAAGATGCTGAGAGATTGTGTGATGGCACTGTTCCAGGGAAGGAGCTCACACCAAGTCTCACACATTCTGTGAGACCTAAGCAGCTATAGCAAGCAGCCATCTTAGAGCCTTGCCTCCAACAGAGCACACATTATCCTGGAGACCACTGCTACTGGGGCTGAAGAGCAGGAGAAGCACGCTTGCTGCCTCCCAACTTAGATGCCAGTGACTAGGGGCCACCCACACCAGGGGCTGAGATGCTATCATGATGCATGCTGCTGCCATTGAGGCTGAGGCATGAGCAAGGTGTCAGCTACTGCAGAGGGGCTGAGGAAAGAGTGCCACTTGGGCTGTGGTGAAAATGGTGTGTGTGTTTTCCACCTGCTGACCTAGGTTGCCCAGTACTGAAGGTGGCATTGCCCTCCCCAGTGGCAGGGAACTAGCACAGCTGCTGCCACCTGCCATCAGAGCATATCACTTTTCTAGGGATTCCCTCACCACTAACTACTGCATCTGGTGCCTGTACTCATTATCAGAGGGCATGAGGACAAGTTT